GGAAAAAGAAAACTCAGGCAAAGACAAAAGTTTCAGCTATCTCTAGAAGTTCCACAAGGGAGAAATTTCCCATCTTTGAGATCACAAGGTAAAGTGCAAAGCTTGTTGATTTACTATCTTCTTGGTTCTTACCCTCGATTTTAAAGATGAGGAAAGTGATGCTTGGAAATGCTAAATGACTTACTCAGATTTACCCAGAAACTAATGAAAAACAACCACTCTTTTCTTAAAAGCTTACAGATCAAACTTACAAATAACACCAAAGTAGGAAGATCTTTATTATCTTTGATAATTGTGAGACAAAACAACAATAAGCTGTGAATATGGTCTAAATAATGAATGAAGTTTAGAGTCCAAAAAATTTTGTCTCACAGATCTGATTTCCGCGGTGGACGCGTTTTAGCTTCAGGACATATCAACAGTATACAAAATTATTTTTAAAGATCCAAAGAGATCCAGGGTGCTGGTTCACATCAGTAATCTTATAAGGTTGGGAGACTGAGGCTAGAGGATCACTTGAGAGGCCAAGAGTTTGAGGGTTGCAGTGAGAGATGACAACACTGCCCTCTAAACCAGTTGACAAAATAAATAAATAAACCAGTTGACAGAGATTGTCTCAAAAGAAAAAAATATATATCCAAAGAGGCAACTGTGAGATAAATAAGCAAAACTTTTTTCTGATTAGATGCACTTCAGCTAACATGCTTTCCATTCTACAATATTTACAAATTATTTTGTGCTCTATTTCCCTACTTAATATTACTTCATACAATTTTCCCACATATTGACACCGTATACGTACTTGCCATTTTTAATGACACTAGAGTATTCCATTATGTTGCTCTGCTGGTCTCTTAGGTTTATTCTAAATAGCTCATTGCAAATATCTTCTATACGTTATTCTTCTATGCATTATACTTATAGATCAATAGTCATAAAAAATTTTACAGCTTTTATCAAACATCATTCTCTGAGTGAAAATGTGTCACTAGTGAAAATGTGACACATTATCACTAGTGAAAATGTGTCAGCTTCTTACACCCCACCATCTTATGTCATTACAAACTCCTGATCTAACGAATTACAGGTTCTTATCTCACTAATGTAATTGTGAGCAATTCAATAAATACTTATTTGGCCCCCAAGCATTCATCTAATATAGAAAATCCTAAAAACATTAACCAAGTATTCACCTGCCTGGTAAATGTGGTAGACATTGTAAAGGATGCAAAGATGTATAGAACTCCATTCCTGGCTTCCAGGTATTCACACCATAGATGGGGACCTAACCACACACAGACACACACATACTCACACATACATACAAATACACAGAAAATCTACATGAGCATTTGATTTTATACAAATACAGTGGATTTACTTTCTTTTTGGTTCTTCTCTTTACCAGTGAAGTTTGATATGGGTGCTTATAAGTCATCAGCAGAGGATGTTACAAGGCCTGTGATTCTAAGAATCTCAAAAACTCAACTGTATGTGAGTACCCAAGATGAAGACCAGCCGGTGTTGCTGAAGGTCAGTTGTCTTTAATCAGCTCTTACCCTCACTGACATCTCATCATTTGTAAATAAGCCCAATAGGCACCAGCCCCAGCAGGGTAACACCATCCTCTTCCCTCCTTCAGCTTCTTATCCTCCAAGGCATCCTTTAGGTAGCATCCATCAGGGCATGATAGAGGTGAGAAAAATGAATAAGAGTTAAATTACCTTCTTTCTTTCCCCCTTTGACTCAACTCACCTCCCATCCCAGGGCATCTATTGATTCCATCTCTACTGACATCTCTTATCTGAACTACATGGTATTAAGCACTAGGACAATGGGGCTTCCAAGAAACTCAAATAAGCCGACTGAGATCAGAGAGGATTAATCACCTGCCACTGGGCACAAAGCAAAAAACTAGGAGCGAAGACTCAAACCCTGACCTACTTGTTCCAGTGCCTCTCCCTCTTCAGAGGCACCAGCATTCTCCCTTGTCCCAGCCCCATCTCCACTATCACTGTACCCCTCAAACATACAGGCGCACATGCATGGCCACTCTAGCCTTGATGTTTTCTCCACTGGTGACTCTTATTCTGTAAACATATAACCCAAAGCTGCCTATCCCCAGCTAGAATTTGTGCAGATATATATGCTTCTCTAACTGGATCAAGCAAAACAAAAGTGATAGCTACAGAGTAGAACAGTAGCTTCATTCATGAATTCATTCGACAGGAGTTTTTTATTAAGAGGCTTCTATTTTTCAAGCTTAGTGCTGACAGCTGTGTAGACAGGGGTGAGTCAAAGTCCCTAGCCTTATAGAACTTAGTCTTCTGGGACTAGCCAAACAATCAACAGAAAGTATAAGATACTGCAAAGAAAATGAACTGGGTGCTAAGACAGAGAAAATTGGGGGCATGCTATTTAGACGGAGTGCAAGAGCAGAGCTCCCTGTGACATGGAAGCTGCTGAAAGGAGGGAGCGTGCCATGTAGGGGTATGGAGTGGGCATTCTAAACAGAGGGGTCTGAGTGAGCCCAAATGCCAGAGCTTCAGCATCTTTAAGTCCAGTTTCAAGGATCAGAAGATGTCTTAGAGGCGAGGCATTGTGAGAAGGAGGAAAGATATGCAGTGGCTAGTGCTTACAGAGATTGCATTTGAATTTCAGACAGTACAGTGTCCTAACCTCATTTATATTTCCTAAAATGGGGAACAGATCAGATGGAAAGAGCGAAAGTAGAGAACCCAATTAGGAGGTTGTAACAGCTACCATGGGGGTATGGGGTAAGGAAAACAGGTGGAAAGAAAATAGAATTGCATTCTATTTTAGAGATACAATCAACAGGAGGAAGAGGAGTTCTGTGTACTGAGGTGCAAAAAACTAGGAGAGGAATAAGTTTCAGAAATAAAATCTTTGCTGACATTGGTAACTCCAAAGAAATCTCCAAAAGTATATTTACTTGCTTTAGAGGGAAAAGAGTAAGAAAAAAAAATCTCAATTTGCAATTTGAAATCTGTTTTAGGATGAAAGTTTTTTTCTATGAAAGCATTGTTATATTCCATTCATACTCACAGGAATAGTGCATTCTAAAAAAAATTAGATTGAAACAGTTTGACTACTGATATACCTGGGAAGTTTTGTGTGTGTGTGTGTGCATGTGTGTGTGTTTAACCTTCAATTGTTGACTTAAATACAAAGATAAATATCATCTACATGCTAAATTGTTTTCCTAAAGATATAATTTGCACACTTGGAGGTCAATATGTCTAGGAAGCTTAGAATTACCAGTGCTCAGGTTTGATGCAAAATGTCTTATGCCTATGTTGAAGGCAGGACGTGAACAATGTTTCACACTTGCCTGACTGGATACGGGAGATGCTAATGTCATTGGAAGTCTTCATGAGTAATTTAGATCACCCTCTAATCAATTAAGGAAACCAACACTTATGAATAGACCGGGCTATGCATCTAATAGGCATGTAATAAATGCTTGCTGAATGAACAAATGAATGAAGTACTTATCACGTTAGAGCCGTAGTCCTAACGTGCTATTTCTCACAAAGGCCAGATACCTAAGGGTTGAGCTTCAGTTCTTTTTCTACCATCTTGTCATTCTCTAACAGAATTCTGTTCTCCTTATGTCAGGAGTTGCCTCAGATACCCAGAACCATCATGGGTGATGATACCAACCTCCTCTTCTTCTGGGAAACTGTTGGCTCTAGGCACTACTTCACCTCCGTTGCCCATCCAACATTGTATCTCGCCACAAAGCAAGATAATCCGGTGCACCTGGCCACGGGACCACCATCTTCCACTGACTTTCTGATGCTGGACGCCTAGGCTTAGCTTTTAGTCTACTCACTTACTAAGCAGTGATAGTCTGTATGTACCATGTACATGAAAAAGTCAAGTTCTTTGCTCTTAGTCATCTGCTGAGTATGTGCTTAGCCTTTGTAATTCTAAATGAATGTTTGCCCTCTTTGTAAGAGAGGAACAAGGTCTAGTGGAACCAACACTAATATAATGTTGTTTGTTACTTAAAGAACACCCTATACTTTGCACAGTACCAATCATTTTAATTATTATTCTTCATAACAATCTTAGGAAAACCAGTGCTACTGACTATGCTTACAAAAAGACTACCCATAACATAGATGGGCTGACTGAGGCACAAGAAAACTACAAAATAAATGCACATGGTAGCAGTTGGAATGAGAAAGCACAAACCTAAGATTTCTTTTGCTTTTTTCCCCTGAGGCTGAGTCTCACTCAATTGTCCTGATGTTGAGTGCCCTGGTGATATTGCTCACAGCAACCTCAAACTCTTGGGCTCAAGTGATCCTCTTGTCTCAGCCTCCAAAGTAGCTGGACCTATAGGCACCCACCACAACACCCAGCTATTTTTAGAGACAGCGTCTCACTCTTGCTCAGGCTGGTCTCGAACTCATGCACTCAAGCAATCCAGAGTATTGCTTCGGCCTCCCAGAGTATTGGGATTACAGGCATGAGCCAATGTGCCCAGCCTGCCACAAACCTAGGATTTCATTCCAACCGTTTGTCTTCTGCTGATGGGCCTTTAATCAAATGACATAAGTTTCTGGGACCTTGATTTTATCATTTTCGAAGTGGAGGGAATTATACCTACATCCTTGTTGCCTCAATATTTTTTTATACCTATCAGTGAGATCATTGTGGTCAAATACTTCTTGAAGCTAAGCCTCAAAATGGAGGTGAATGTTATTTGTAATTATTATTTATGTATATGTGTATTTATAGATATAGTTTAAGATAATTATAACATTATTATATTTATGACATCTCTTTGCATCCTCTGAGTGTGACTGGACATCCTCAACAAGAGCAGACAGTGTTTGCCAGGCTGAGTGATTTTCACTTAGTTAGCATCAGGGCACTGTTCCAAGTGATGATTTTTCCATATCATGAAACTCAGAATTATAGTACTTGGGAACCCTATGATTATGATAATAAATTTACCTCAATTACTTTATTTGTTTGAAAATTGGGCCAGTCTGTGACTCTTTTGTCCTTATACTTGCCTTGGTATTCTTGTGTCTGTCAATTCCACCTGGAATCAAGTCCCACCGGCTAAAATGAGATGAACTCAACTTTGGCAACCATGAGACCAATGTAGTCAATGTTTCTTCTAGGTTCCAAAATTTGTGATCAAACCATCGTGCTACATTATTATCCACTATAGTGATTGATACATCATTATCAATCATAGTTGAACAAAACAACAAAAGGGATCTGACACAGTTATTTGTTATCTTAATCGTGATTTTATTTCATGGTAATTAAAGACAAATGATAAAAGTTTACATAAATAACTATACTTAGTGTTACTTTACAAAACCAAACTAAGATTTTATAGTTTTTCTCTCTGCTTTGGTAGCTGCCAGGATGCATAAATGGCATTAAAAATGATAATATGCCCAAGTTCAGTTAAAGCTCACATTCATGTATATAACACATGTGTTCATGTATCCATACAAACTCACATGTATGGAGCCACATTAAAAGATATGTTGAATTGAAAAATCAAAGGAAATTAAGGTTAAAAGCAAGAGAACTTGGAATTAGATGTGAGCATATGGAGGAAGAAGATGACCCTGCTTCCTGAACAGATTAGATGAGTGACGGCATCTGAACCAATATTTTTGATAGAAATATGGAGTTCTTTAAATCTCAGGATCAAGTATGAGGAGTGTGATTTTAGACATGTAATTTGAGCTATACCAGCAGAACACCCAAGTGAAAATCTATAAAGGGCAGATGATAACATGTCTGGAAGTTCGGAAAGGTTAGAACTAGATGTAGATTTAGAAGACATCCACAGTAGGTAAAATTTTAGTAAGTAAAATTCTAAAAACAACATCAAAGAGAGAAGTATATGGTGTACACTTTTGGTTATCTATGAGATCACCAGAACTCTGATTTCATTCAGAATTTGACATACTTTGCCCCAAAGGCTGAATCCAATTAATTGGTTTAAGATCATGTTCATTCTATCCTCACATGACTAAGTCATTTAACTTAATCTTTTCTAATGAGGTATAGATTTATAGGGGGCAACTACCAGAAGAGATTTTCTACCCTGGTTAAAAGAGAGAACAATGTGAGGGTATTTGGCACATCTCCTGGGTGAAGGGCTCAACTACAACTTGGACTCTACTTAACAAATGCCTAATGTAACCTTAACAATGTAACCTAATTGTACCCTACTACTAATCTGAAATTTTAAAAAAGAGAGAGAGCCATAGAGAAGAAGGCCCTTTTTCCTTTTCCTTCTTCCTTCTTACATGAGATACATTCTATGAGGGTATGAAGCTTGGAACTGTGGTCATCACCTTGCCACCTTTCCAATGACTCAACCATACGTTGAGGAATGTGGAGTGGAAGGAGAACGAGAACCTGTATCTCTGACAACACTGTTACATTAAGGTCCTACCTCCAGAATTTAAGAAAACAAGAAATGTTATTGTTATTAAGCCATTTTCATTTGGTTTGCTGTCACTTGCAGTCAAACTCAGACTAACTGAGACAGAGCACCATGGAGACCTAGTCCCTTGGTCACTACACCCCATTCTTTTTAGCAACCACTACTTTTCTAGGATTTCCTTACCCTAAGTCTGGCCAGAGCAAAAAAAAGCTAATTAACACCTGTTTCCTTGCTGTTCTTTGGTTTTAAGAAAGATTTAAGAAACCATTGTAATATTAGTATATCTTAATATTTTAATAAATAGGAAAATACAAAACACTGAGTAAGCAATAAAAATTCAAGAAGCCTTAAAAAGTATAACAGCTGTTCAGTCTCTGATTAATAGCAAAATATTGAATCGTTGTAGAAATGGCCTTGGCATGTGATTTTCCCAGGGCCAGCTATCCATATTCTCTTAGCCAACCTCCCTCACTCCCTACATAGTAAGAGTGTCACCACCATGAGGTTCAACAGTCTTAGCACTCAACTTGTTAGAAGCTGTGACTTTTATTACAGACATACATCAGTTTCCAAGTTGATTAAATGAAGAATAAAGAGACTAAAGCCTACCTCTGCCTTTAAATCTAAGGTACAGAGAGCAAAAAGCCAAAAGATACTTCCCTAACCTTCCTCCCAGGAGAGGCCCCTTGTCCAACATTTAAAAATACCTACACTTGAACTTTTAGAGGAGATGGAATTGTTCAGACAGTAATAATGATTGTGGTGGATATAAAATACACTTGCATATCTGCATGTATTCCTTCATTGTACAGTAGTTTTATGACCACATGACATTTGTCAAAATCGTCTACTTGCATCTGGACCAGCATTGGCTTATCTACCTTTTCATGCACTTTTTGCCCAGAAAAGAGTTCTGTATACTACTCCAGATACGGCACAGCCTAGAATTAGATATTTTCTTTCCTATTTTGGACAGCTTAGACATTACCTTTTTGACCACCAAGTGACATTGCTGTTTCATATTTGTAGACAACTAAGACCTATAGGTTTTTAACCTAAATTCAGAACTTTAAATGTAACCCTCCCTATTAAGTTTCTTTCAAGATCTTTGTAGATTGTTCTGGATCCTGATTGTCTTACTTATTACACTGGCTTTCTCACTTTTTGACATATGCAATTTGGAAAGTATATTTTTATTTTGCTCATAGTACATTGTGGAGAATTAAGACATTTTTACAGTATTTTCTTCTTTTTATCTAAAATATCTAGTATTTGTATTGAAATGATAATAGAAGGATAGATACCAAAATGTTAACAGTCCTTAAAACTTATCACTGAATAATTAAATGATTTATAAGATTAATAGGTTTTTTAATTATATATTTTTTTCTGATTTTTAAGTGAATATATGATTCCAAAACACCAGCCACATACACCGACGCTGGCAGGTTCAAACCCAGCCTGGGACAGCTAACCAACAATGACAACTGCAATCAAAAATAGCCAAGTGTTGTGGCGAGTGCCTGTAGTTCCAGTACTTGGGAGGCTGAGGTAGGAGAATCACTTGAGCCCAATAGTTTGAGGTTGCTGTGAGCTGTGACATCACAGCACTCTACCCAGGGTGACATAGTGAGACTCTGTCTCAAAAAATAAAACAACAAAAAAAAAACCCTCATTGAACATAAAAGGAAGTTCAATGTATATAAATTATACCTCAATAGAGAGCCTTTTTTTTCTTTACAAGAAAAAAAATATGTATATTTCATTTCTTTTTTGTGTGTAACCAGAGTGTTCTTTTCCTTTTCTTTTTTTTTTTTTTTTTTTTGAACCCTCTCTCAACCCTGGGCATGTGATGCTCACTTGGCCTAAAATGTTCTATAAGGTCATTTATCTTTCTTGGGACACATTACTTATCTTTCCTCTCATTTCTTTTCCTAATGTGCACTCTTACTGACCAAGAACACCTTTGCTCTCTCTTCTCCAAAACTTAACCTTACCTGTTTCCTATTTTTCTAGCAGAGCGGCTAACAGATAAACAAACGGGGCTAATGCAACCTTCTGAGCAAAGAGGCTAAGCCCTGGAGATCGGTAAGCTGAAGTCTTCAGAGTAGCATACTCTGCCTCAAAAAAAAAAAAGGAATCACTTAATTGGCTGGGCACAGTAGCTCACTCCTGTAATCCTAGCACTCTGGGAGGCTGAGGAAGATGGATTGCCTGAGTTCAGGGTTCAAGACCAGCCTGAGCAAGAGCTAGACCCCATCTCTAAAAATAGCCAGGCATTGTGGTGGGTACCTGTAGTCCCAGCTTCTTGGGAGGCTGACACAAGAGGATCATTGCTTGAGCCCAAGACTCTGAAGTTGCTGTGAGCTAAGATGCCAGG